GGGACCGGGCGCCGCCGCCTCCCCGCGCCGCGCGGGCCCGCCCAAACGCGGAGCTCAGCGCAGTCCTCACTCAGGTCGGACCGCGCCGCGCCGTGCCGCGCCGCGCCAGCCGCGGGGCTCCCCCACGCCGTGGTCCCCCGCCCCTCTGCGGCACTTGCAGCGCGGGTGGAAGGGCCGGGCAAGGGCCCAGTGCGTAGCCCGCGGCCAGGGCTGGGGGCACTGCGCGGTCTGCGGGCGAGAGCGCCCTGCATTGCCCCGCTTTGCCTCCCTGGTCGGGCCGCCGGGACGCTAACCGGGATGTCGCCTGGCCCCGAGGTGGCTTCTGTGCAAGTGCGCGCGGTCGTCCCGAACCGTTCTCGCCCTAGACGTTCCCGGCTCGCACTCAGATCTTCTCGGGAGGGAGAAAGCACCTCCTTCCCAGAGCACGCGCCTTGTCCTGGGTTTTAACCTAACAGTCGGGAGGTACCAAAAAGAACCGGGCTCCCGGGGTAACAGTTTGCCCCTTTTCCCAGTGAAACGCGCGAGGGCTCCCTTCCCTTCAGCGAGCGAGCGAGCGAGCTGCGGTTCCGGTTTAGGTGAGAGGCAGCAGCGTGACAGCATAGAAGCCTTGTGTGCACCGAAGGGACAGAACGCGCCCCCCTCCCCCCCAACCTGTTGTTAAACCTTTCTTGTTAAATCTCTGTTCCTGTGAACTACGGTCTTAAGCAGTCTCTCCCACAGCATGCACCTTACTGTTCAGTAAGAGCCGGCACGCCTGAATACTTTACACGGGAGAGCTCCTAACAGTGTTCTTTCCCTTTTGCTTAGAGGCACTAGGAAACAGGACAATCGCCGCTGTCAACAGCTCTTTTACTGAGAAAGTGGGTGGCTCTTAAAAGAGCCTTTGGGTCGAGAGGGTCCGGCGCCGAGTGCAGGAGCAGCTTACTTAGAGCTGGTGTACTTGGTGACGGCCTTGGTGCCCTCGGAGACGGCGTGCTTGGCCAGCTCGCCGGGCAGCAGGAGCCGCACGGCCGTCTGGATCTCCCGCGAGGTGATGGTGGAGCGCTTGTTGTAGTGCGCCAGGCGCGACGCCTCGCCGGCGATGCGCTCGAAGATGTCGTTGACGAAGGAGTTCATGATGCCCATGGCCTTGGACGAGATGCCCGTGTCGGGGTGCACCTGCTTCAGCACCTTGTACACGTAGATCGAGTAGCTCTCCTTGCGGCTCTT